GCCCAAGAGGGGGAACGCGAAGGGGCCTCGAGAGCCTTAATCCCCAAGACTCTCAACAGACTCCCCAATGGCACCCTGCCCTGAGAAACCCACAATTCTCAATCGTGCCAGAACACGATTCGTGAGACCTCAACACCGCGAATCAACTTGACCGTTACGTCCCGACATCCCGACATCGCGCCAAAGCACAAGGTCTGGGACGTTAACCATGAGAATATTTGAAAATGCTGCATACTCTTAAGACGAATGTGCGCGGCGCCAAATCGAGAACCACATCTTGAGAACGGGCCGCCCTCCATCCGTGAAACTCTTGCACACTTTCGAAAGGAATGTGCGCGGCGCTAAAGCCAGAACTACAGTTTGAAAGCGTTCCTCCCTCCATCCGTGAAACAGTTGCACATGTCAAGGTTCAGCGTCATAAGTTGCAAAACAAGCCTCAAGCGAAACGCCCGGCCCGCCCTGTCGCCCGGCCTCGGGGTGCGACAGGGATTTATCTAGAAGGGACCTGGTCTCGAGAGGGCAGGGGGCGGGAGTTGGAGCCCTGCTCGGGCTGGGAAAAGACGGAGGAGGAGGAAGAGGAGGGGGAGGGGGGGGGAGAAGGAGGAGGAGGAGGAGGAGGAGGAGGAGGTCGTCTCGGGGGCCTCTCGTCGCCTCGGTTAAGTTCCTCTCGAAACTCTGATCCGAACGCATCCTGGAGTGGTCTGGGGGCAAGTTGCATGAAGGAGAGAAGAGGGGCATGGGGGAGGAGACAGGACAAGACAGGACAAGACAAGACATCGCAATGGAGCTCGGAATCGATAATAACAAAGTCGCTGAGCTCTGCGCGCTGTTTCGGCAGCTGGACCTCGCTCGAAAACACAAGCAGGGGGAGGAGGACGAGGAGGAGGGAGAGGGGGAGGAGGGGGATGGGATGGGCGGAGGAGGAGGGGATGAGGAGAAAACAACGTCGATGAGAATCATGATAACAACAACTTGAATGATACTGTTAACAAGAGGACGATCAATTCACATTAAAATACCTGTGAGAAGCAGGATACGAACAGTAAGGACACGAAATATGAAGACATATTGGGAAAAGGAAGAGAATGAGGAGGAGGAGGAGGAAGGAGGAGGGGGATGAGGAGGAACGAAAGGAGGAGGAGGAGGAACGAAAGGAGGAGGAGGAGGAGGAGGAGGAGGAAGAGGAGGAGAAGGAGGAGGAGGAGGAGGGGGGGAGGAACGAGAGGGGACTCGTGCTCTCCGCGCAGCCGCGGCGGCGGGGCGGCCCGCGACCTCGGTACCGAGGTTCTGGCACAAGTCCTCTGGCCCCGGCCGCACACCCGGCCCGACGTGGCGAGGGGATCGGAGGGGGTCGGGTCGAGGATTGGAAGTGGAGGGGGGAGAGAGGGGGATCGGGAGGGGAAGGAGGGAGGGGAGGGGAGGGAAGGAGGGAGGATCGAAGAAGGGAGGGGGGGATCGAGGTGGCTTGGATGTTTTCGTCCGGGATGTTGTGGGAAGCTGACTGTGACAAGTTGGCACCGTTCCGTTGACCGGGTCGAAGTATCTGTAGGCATCCTGGTCCGAGGTCGTTGATGGCCTGCGCAAATTCCTCGGCAGTGGCTCGTCCCTGGAGACCGGGGATCTCTGGGGAACCGTCACTACGCTGTGCAGTTCCTTGTGGCGTGCCTTGAGGTCCCCGTGCTCGAACGGCGACGTTCCCAAGGTCGGGTTCTCTGCAGTGTGGGCACCTCGGATGAGTGATTTGTTCCCTCCCAGGGTCAGCGAGACTGAAGACGTCCGGTTGTTGTCGTCTCCATGCGGCCAGGCAGGCAGTGTGGAATTGGTGACAACATGGAATGATCGCACTCGCGGTAGCATCGAGGGCTGCCCAGTAGATAGCGCATTCAGGTGTGTCTCCAGTTTCACTCTGCGGAGAAGTAGGATTGCGTGTGGGGCGCGCTGGCTCAGTCGCCCGTAGTATACATTCAGCGCATGCCTCCCTGAGCACAAAGGCGTCGTTGGTGGCGGATTCGCCGCTTGTGGCAGCCGGATGGCTCATGCGGTGGAAGAGGGGAACTAAGCTAGTCGGGGTGAAAGGGTCGTAGGCCTGGAAATCCTCGGCCCGCGCCCGGGCGACGAGCTCCAGGAGCCGCTGTAATTGCAGAGGCGCGTGGACGTCACACAGGATGAGCCATTTGGATATGACAGCAAATGGGGCAGTGTTGATCCTCCGTGCCATTCGCACGGGGCAGAGGGAGTTTCTAAAGTGTGGTCTACGGCGTAGCCATATTGCCCCAGACAGCCACCGGTCAACACAGTCAGTTTTGGTAGTGGCGTTCCGGAGCCATTCCAACAGTGGTCTCGCTTTGGTTGTGTCGACTGAGCTGGTGTTCAGCGGCGGCTGTGCTTGTCGCCATCGACCGCGTTTGTCAAGTCTTTCGGCAATGTGCAAAAATTCTAGCAGAACTGATATTTGAACGGCTAGGTCGGGGCCTCGCCACTGGTTCATCCTGCCAATGTCTTCCTGCGTTGCCCCTTCTTGTCCCGTTGACATATGCTCTTCCCACGGTTGTCTGTTGCTGAGTCTTGCCAGTCTGGACGCAGCTTGAATGGCATCGGGGCTTCTGTCTGAGTCTCCGTAGAAGACTGAGTACTGCAGATTTCCTTGAGCGTCGAGCTTGTGCACCATCAATGTTTGTAGCGTGCGGTCGATGTACCCGCCTGGCCGCGGCGCCGGGGTGGGCCGTCCTGTTTCGGCTCGGTGTTCCATGACTATTCCCTCCATCCTGGCGCAAGCAAGCTCGATAGTGTCAACCGACGCCTCTCTCCAGTAGGCTGCCGCTGCGTTGATTGCTCTGGCGTCGAGTTGGTGGCGTCCAAACAAGTCAATTAAGCGTGCGCGTCCAGCTCCAGTCGCAGCACACCGGATGAAGGTGACAAGAATGATGTCCCACTTGCACATGCTGGGGAGAGTGCATCAGGCAATGCGCTTGCGTACTTCCTGTATTTCGGATTCGAAATCCTCGAGACGCTTCCTCTCCTCACGCCCCATGAGCATGACAGTGATTGCCTGCATGGGAGGAGCTTCGCTATGAGCTGCCTCTGTGATTCAAATGACGGTGTCGACGTGTGTGTTTCCCTGTGCAGCCGGCGTGGTCATGCTCCTTCAGTGCCGAAAGATGGCGCGCTCAATCGATCTCCCGATGGGTTCGTGGTCGCTAAGTAGGAGCGCGCGTTCTTGGTGCTCACCGAGCGCTAGAGTGGCGTATCCAACCAGTGCCTCAGTGGCCCATGCCCGTTCGGTGGTGGCCATGCTGCAATCGTGATCGTTGGACTCGACCTGGTCCGCGACGAACATCCCAGCGTGTTGTTGAAGCCGTGCGATCCCAGCTGTTTGAAGTCCAAGCTGGGTCAAGTGACGGTAGGCAAAGGAGCTTTGTTGAACAGGCTGGCTGCGCGTTCCTGCGCCCCCGCCTATGGTTGGGGCGAGTGTGGCCTGCACGTGAAGCGCGTGAGTGCTACGGGGAGCTAACCGGCGAGCTGTCCGTGCAGCCTGCCTTGCGAGAGTTGGCTGTGCATCTCGCCGCACACGTAGGTAGCCCACTCAGTGCTCGCTGCGCAGAGAAACGTGAGTTTGCCTGCGGCAGAGCGGAGGTGGCTCTCAGTCGAAGCACGGTCAGCAGGCGCTGATCAGGCGCCACTGGTTAGGTCCGCCCATGCTCCCAATTATTCGCAGACTAACCATGTTGGGGGATAGTCTGCGGCGTTGTGGAGTTCCCAGTAGAGGTGGCAGGCGCAGGGAGCAGACCGTTGAGCTGCGTGAGCAAGAGGGGGGAGGATACCGTTGGAGAGCGAGTCGATTGGTAGGAAGGGCGGGCTCTCGCCGTCGAGCTCGTCTGACAGCCAGGGGGTTGAGAATCTCGCGCGCAGCGGGCATGATCCAGCAACAAGGCCTGGCACCCTTAGGCACCACGACCCACGGAACAGGCGTCGTTCGTTTGGTGCGAAACGCCTGCCTGGCAGTGGAAAGGTTGCAATGTCGTCCCAGGGCCGGATTTGCCTGTAGTCGGAGTTCTGTAGCGGCGGGGTGATGCCCGGTGCTGGCACTGCGCAATCGTCGACGAGCCATTTCGGTTGCTGGATGGCTCTCTGAGTGTCGGCTGCGATGGCGCGGTCGAAGGCGCTGGATAACACTCCGTTGGCGGGGCCACCGTGGGAGCGGCGATGGCAGGCCCAAGCGAGGAGCTCGTTGTGCGGGGGGAAATGGATGATGGCCTGTCTCCTTTCATGGATCAGTAGCTGCAGCACCATGCCCGGTGGCGGTGCCTCTTCGCTGCTCTGTTGAGGGCGCGGCCTGAGTAGGAGACCGGGCGCGGTCGTTCGAGGAGAGTGGTCCGCTCGATCGCCCCCTCGGTCTCGATAACAGCTGTAGTGCCGCCGACGCCGCAATATTTCGATGCGCGGCACATGTTGGCGTACTCCCTGTAGGCGACGCATCTCTCTAGGTCAATGATTTCGTCGTTGTCGAGGCGTGGGCATCGATCGCCGTTGCTGATGTGGCGCACAGTGGCAAGACGCATGGCGAGTAACTGCGCTGGGCGTGGTCTGACGCCCCCCACTATTCCTTCGGAATCTTCCTCGTCAAGCGTCCAGGCAAAGCGAACGAGGTCCATGATCATGAGGATGTTGGGGCAGCGGTCGCACTCGGTGTCGCAGGATGTGAGAAGCTCGCGTTGCCGACATTCAGCTACTGTGCCAGCTTGTGCCAGGGTGGGGAGTCCCTCTGGGTGACTCTTCCAGGCGAAACGGACCAGTAGTTGCAGTCGCATGGTGGCTTCTAAATACCTCGATGTTTGGACGGCGCGTTGGGGCCAGCTCCCTCGCGGGAAGGGTGCGCCTTGCATCGGGTCTTCGACGCAAGGGCCTCGTCTGCTCGCTCGAGAGAGATCCTGTCCATCGAGTCCACGCGGGTTTGCGCTGCGGGGGCCAACTTTCGGGCGGTTGTGCCAGCATTGCAATGGCTGACGCACTGGCGGAAGGTTGCGCTGGCAGTCGTATGTTGCATCGAACCTGGCGCGGCGGTGCGGCGCGGTGGACGAGTGGAGGGGCAGGGGGGGGAGAAGAGCTGTCGCGGTTTCTTCCTGGGTCGGAAGCAGGGCGCGAGGGTCGAGCATGGCTGCTTCCATCCGCGTTATGTCTGCGTGGGGGGGGCGAGGTAGGGCGACGCGCCTGGGGGGTAGATCGCGGTGGCTGCGCAGTTGGCGCAGTTGGTGCTCTACCCATTTCCAAATCCGAATCATGATTCAGATCGACTGGCACATCAGTGGCGACCTCCTGCTCAGTGGGGGCTGGGAATGGTAGGCTATGTAAGGTGTCGAGGGCTTGCTGCATCCCAAGGAGGGCAGCGTTCGGGTCAAAGGCGGCACTGGGAGTGCAAGAAGGGGGATGGCTGGGTGTCAGCGTGGGCATCCGTATCAGGTGTAACGGGCTGTCGCGTGTTGCTGTCGTCCTGCGTGACGTGTCGAACTTCAGTGGGCGTCGGAGTCGGGGAGGGTGTAGGAGAAGGGCAGCCAGCGGGAGCGCGGGGAGAGGGCCTGTTATCGGGCGTTTGCTTAGTAGGTTGTTCGTGGGCTGACTGTCCTTCGGGGGGGGAGAAGCATCGGGGGGCGCATGGTCCTCCACGGGGCGGTCGCATGCCGTGCTTGCGGGGAGTTGCTGAAGGGGGGTGGTGATCTTGCTGTGTACAGTCCTCAACGGTGGGGCGACTAACCGTCGCTTTCAAGATGACAGCACTCGAGGCGGCAGGGAGGAGAGACAGGGAGCGCAGCTAACCGCTGCTTCACAGGAAGATAGGGGGACAGGCGCAGCTGGCATGCTATCAGGAGAAGGGAAGCGACTAACCGTCGCAGCCTTCGGATGAGCAGGACAGGGATGGGAGGCAATCTCTTTCAGTAAGCCATCGTATCCAGCGACACGGCGCGGTCTGGGAAAATCAATTTGATCCTCGATCGGCGTACCCTCGCCGATCTGGTCGCAGCTCCCGCTAGCCCGGTGTTTGCCTACATTGGTACCGTTCCCTGTGGCGCGACTATTCTTCGCAGGCGGAATAAAATATGGGGTACCATGAGCAGAGGCAGAGTTTCCCTGTGTGCCGTCGTCTCCAGCGACAGGATCTGATCCAACGGGATCCTGCCCGATGTGTACATCGATGTTTGTACCCGCTGGCCGATTTGGTCCTGGGGACCATCGTTTGGTTGCTCACTGGACAGCGGTAAAACCCCCAAGTCCTGCACTAGTCCGTCACAATCCGCCTTAGGGACAATTCCCTGGATTTCGTCGCGATCGCTGTCTCAGTTCTCTTCCATCCCCGGTGGTTCTAGGGCTGTGGCGAAATGGACGGGAGGCGCGCCGAGGCCTGGCAGCAGCCCGCTATCGCACGTGACCTGGCACGGGCGGGCACGGGGGGCCGCGGCGGCCAGGACGGTGCGTCGGGCGCCCCCTCGAGAGCGGGGGTTACCCGCAGACGGCTTGAGCCAAGGGGCTTGAGCCAGAGGCTACGGACTTGAGGCAAAATGGCTACGGACTGGTGAGGATATTTTTTTGGTCGCGGCCAGACAAGGGTCAGGCGGCGAAAGCAAAGTCCGGGGCGCGAACGAGGCTAATTAGCTACAACAGGCACAGGCCGGCCGGCCGGCCCACTCACAAAGCAGCCGCGAAGCTGAAAGGGGGAAAATGGTGAGGACACGCGAAGCGTCAAGGATTTCGGGGCGAATCCAGCGTGGGGAACGAGGACCCCCTAGGAGGCCCAAGATGATCCAAGAAATCGGTCGATCTCGAATCGACCGCGGCGAGGTGGAGGAGGAGGGGGAGGAGGAGGAGGAGGAGGGCCGAGCAGGAAGATGAGGAAGGCGGAAGAGGAGGAGGAGAAGGAGAAGCATCGAGATGATGATGACGATGAGGAGGAGGAAAAGGAGGACGACGACGACGACTACGACGCCGACCCGCCGTCATCGCCATCGCCGCCGCCGTCAGCGTCGCCGTCGCCGTCGCCGCCGTCGCCGTCGCCGTAGTCGCCGTCGTCGCCGTCGTCGCCGTCGTCGCCGTCGTCGCCGTCGTCGCCGCCGCCGCCGTCGTCGTCGCCGTCGTCGCCGTCGTCGCCGTCGTCACCGTCGTCACCGTCGTCGTCGTCGCCGTCGTCGCCGTCGTCGCCGTCGTCGTCGCCGTCGTCGCCGTCGTCGTCGTCGTGGCCGTCGTCGCCGTCGCCGTCGTCGTCAGCGGCGGGGGCTCCTGGAGATCCTCCGGGCGGATGACGCCGTCGCGCTGGACGCCCTGAACGGGTCAGAGAGCGCCGGCGGGGATCGGCAGGGGCGGGGCCCTGGAGCCACTGCGGGCGAAGACAGGGTCTAACGTCCCCAGAGGAAAGGACGAGGAGGAGGAGGACCCAGGAAGGGGAGAAAGGAGGAAGAGGAAGGAGAAGAAGGAGGAGGAGGAGGAGGAAAGGAGGAAAAGAGGAGGAGGAGGAGGAGGAGGAGGAAAGGAGGAGGATGAAGAGACCCTCGTCACCGCGGCTGGATTCGACTCGAAATTCTGGTCAGACCGCACACCGGCATTGGTCCAGGAGGTAGCGGTACCGGTATCTTTTGCCTTCTGATTCCCCAAGAGCAGGAGGGGGAGGGGGGGGAGGAGGAGGAGGAGGAGGAGGAGGAGGAGGAGGAGGAGGAGGAGGAGGAGGCGGAGGAGGAGGAGGAGGAGGAGGAGGAGGGACGAGGGACGAGGCCTGGCGCAACCGTCCGTCGAAACGAACAGCTGGCGGGACGGCCGAGGCGGCCGCGTCCTCAAAGGAGGACGAAGAAGGCGTCCACCTCCAGCTCCACCGTGGGCCCGCCCCCAGGAGGGGCCAGACGGGCCATCAGCGTAGCAGATGGCGACGCTCCCGCTCTCCCGATAAGGAGCCACGCGGGCAATAGGGAAGCCGCTGCCCACCAGGAAGACGTAGGGCACGGCGAAAAAGAAACGGGCGTCGCCGACCGGGCACCTGACGCCGCCGAGGGGAGGTCTAGCTCCACGAAGTGCCCGCCCCCAACACGCGGGCCAGACGGTCCACCAAGAGCCAGCATCCCACTCATGCCAACAGCAGGGCCCATGAAATACCACTGCCCACCAGGTCGACGGTGAGCACGGCGAAGAGCACCTTCCACACACGGCGGCGCGACCGCCGCACCTATGTGGGGCACTCACATATGGAATCAGCCGTCGCCGATCAAACACCAGACGACACTGCCAAGGTACTCCAGCTGCAGCTCCTGCCCTCAAGGTCGAGACAGGCCTCAACGCAGCCAAAGACACTCCTCAAATGAGGACGGCGAAGGCATCCACCACGAGCAACGCGTTGGGCCCGCCCTCAAGAGGGGCCATACGGGCCAATAGCGTAGCCGTCGGCGACGCTCCCACTCTCCCTTAGGGAGCAAAGCGGGCAATATGAAGAGGCTGTCGATCCATACAAGGATGCGGAGGACCCAGCAGCCAACAGCAGCACCGACGATCAAATACCGACGGCGCGAGCATATGGATGACGTCCGTAGCCGATCACGCAGCCACGAACGCCTCAAAGTCCAACATGTGGCCCGCCCCCTAGAGGGGCCAGACGGGCCATCAAGTAGCACGAGCAGCATGACCATGCGGCCCGCCCCTAAGAGGGGCCAGACGGGCCATCACGATAGCACCACCAGTCAGCAGGGCAAGAGGAGGAGCCAGGAGGATGACACTGAGATCTGGGCGTTGCAATCTGTTCACGCTGGACGGTTTCGCCTGGTTTCGAGCCCCAGGGCCATCACAGCTCGATCGGGCTCGAAAAATGCTGCAGGAAGACAGGGTCTAGGGCTCCAGCCGTGATTTTCACAATGTTGCAATTTTTCGCAATCGGATCTCGGGGGAGGAAGAGAACGTGGGAGGAACGAGAGGAGGAGGAGGAGGAGGAGGAGGAGGAGGAGGAGGAGGAGGAGGAGGAGGGTCACGTCCCCTCCCCCATCTCCTGCTGATTCCACGATATATTCAGGTGTGTCTGATTATTTCTGGACGTACCTCGATTCATCTGGATTTAAATATAAGTATTCGTTTCAACCTCGATTTCTCCAACTCAATACCCGCAAATCGATTAGAGAAGACTAGTCAAGCCCAAAGAATATCATCAGCTGTATAACGTCTGCACTATTACGAAAAGAACTAGTCGCAGTATCCAGGTTTGTGTGATTCGTTTTCATCCTCATCGCTGATCTCCACTTCACACTCCTCCTCATCCATCCCTCTTCATAGTAACGATACCAGATGAAAACCCAATCAAAGTCTTTTTAGGGCTAGAGAGCTATGGGGTTATTGAGTCGTAGGGCGATGGGGCGATGGGGCTATAGGGCGATGGAACAGTAGGGCTATAGGGCCATAGGGCTACAGGTCTATAGGGCTAATAGAACTATAGCGTTATAGGGCCATAGGGCATAGGGCTGTAGGGCTACAGGGCTATGGGGGTATGGGGCTCTGGAGCCATGGGGCTATAGGGCTATAGGGCCATAGGGCTATGAGTATATAGGGCTATGGGGCTGTAGGACTAAAGGACCATACGGCTACAGGGTTACAGGAATATAGGGCTATGAGGCTGGAGGGCTCTAGGCATATGGAGTTATAGACGAAAAGGGCTATAGGGCTATAAGGCTATAGGCCTGTAAGGCTATAAGGCTATAGGGTTATATGGCTATAGGGATATAGGGCTATAGGGCTATAGGGATATTCGCTTATTGGGATATAGGGCTATAGGGTTATAGGGCTCTAGGGCTATAGGGTTATTGGGTTATGAGTCTGTAGGGCTATAGGGCTATAGGGCTATAGGACTATAAGGCTATAGGGCTATAGGGCTATAGGGCTATAGAGCTATAGGGCTCCAGGGCGCTAGGGCTATGGGACTATAAGACTATAAGGATTTGGGGTTATAGGGCTATTGGACTATATGGCTGCAGGGCTATTGGGCTATGGGGTTATAGGGCAATAAATGCATAGGGCTATAGGGTTATAGGGCTGCAGAGCTATAGGGCTATGGGGCGGCACCCGGGCACACGGGCACCTGGGAACCCGGGCACCCGGGCACCCAGGCGGGCCGCGGAAACCGGTGGCAAACAACACCTATCCATGTGAGACCGGAGAACAACCCAATCATAATCTTTTTAGGGCTATATGTTATGGGGCTATAGGGCTATAGGGCTATAGGGCTATGAGGGTCTAGGGCTGTAGGACTATAGGACTATAGGGCTATAGGGCTATAGGGCCATAGGGCTATATGGCTTGGGCTAATGGCTATAAGGCTACAAGGCTATAGGGATATTGGGCGATAGGGCTCTAGGGCCATAGAGCTATCGGGCTGTTAGGGCTATAGGGCTATAGAGCTATAGGGTTATAAGGCTATGGGGCAATAGGGCTAAGGCTATAGGGCTATGGGCTATAGGGCTACCTGGCAGCCGGGCACCCAGGCATCAGGGCACCTGGGCACCCGGGCACCCGGGCGTGCCGCGAAATTGGCGCCACAGCTAACCTAAACATATGAATCCGCTTGGACCACTACAGAGGCAAGCTCTGCATGGGGAATGATACCAGATAATGATACCCGAGAAAGACCCAATCATAATGTTTTTAGGGCTATAGGGCTATGGGCTATAGGGCTATAGCACCATAGGGCTATGAGTCTATACGGCTATAGGTCTATAGGACTATAGAGCTATAGGCATGTAGAGCTATAGGGTTTATAGGGATATTAGTCTATAGGGTTATAGGGTTATAAGGCTATAATGATATAGGGATATAGGGCTATAGGGTATAGGACTATAGGGCGATTGAGCTATAGGGCTATGGGCTATAAGGCTATAGGGCAAGAAGGCTATGGGGCTATAGGGATTATAGGGCTATAGGGCTATTGGGCTAGAGGGCTATAGGGCTATGGGGCTATAAGGTTATTCGGGCTATAGGGCTATAGGGCTATAGGGCTATAGGGCTATAGGGGCATAAGGCTATCAGGGCTATAGGGCTATGAGGGTTATAGGGCTACTGGGCACCCAGGCACCCGGGCGGGCCGCCGACACGGCGACGCAGCTAATCTAACAAGCTCTGATTGGGAAAAAGTCAAAGTCTTTTTAGGGCTATAGGGCCCTGGGGCTATTTGGCTAGAAGGCGACGGGACTATGGGGCTATAGGGCTATGGAACTATACAGCTATAGGGCCATATGGCTCTAGGTCTATAGGGCTATAGGGCTGTAGGGCTATAGAGCCAGAGTGCTATAGGGCTGTAGGACTATTGGTCTATGGGGCTATAGGGCTCAGGGGCTATGTGCTTTAGGGCTATAGGGCCACAGGGCTATGAGCATATAGGGCTATGGGGCTGTGGGGATATAGGACCATAGGGCTATAGGGTTATAGGGATATATGGGGCTACAGGGCAATAGGGCTATAAGCATATAGAGCTATGGGGTTATAGGGTTACGGAGCTATAGGGCTATAGGGCTATCAGGTTAAAAGGCAATAGTGCTATAGGGCTATAGGGTTATAGCGCTGTAGGGCTATAGGGCTATTGGGCTATAGGGGCATAGGTCTGTGGGGATATAGGGCTATAGGGCTATGGGCTATAGGGCTATGGGCCATAGTGTTATAGTGCTATAGAGCTATAGGGTTTCAGGGCGATAGGACGATAGGCCTATGAGGCTGTAAGGCTATGGGGCTATGGGGCTATAGGGCCATTGGGCTATGGGTCTATGGGTCTATGGATTATGGGTCCATGGGACTATAGGGCTATAGGCTATAGGGCCATCGAACTATCGGGCTTTAGGGCTATAGAGCTATAGGGATGTAGTGCTGTAAGGCACCCAAGCACCCGTGCACCTCGGCACCCGGGCACCCGGGCACCCGGGCACGAAGGCGGGCCGCGGAAATCGGCGGCAAAGCTCATCTAACGATATGAATCCGCCAGGACCCCTACAGAGGCAAGATCTGATTGGGGAATGAATCCGCTAGGACCCCTACAGAGGCAAGCTCTGATTTGGGAAATAACTCATCCTCGTCGCACCTCCAGAAGTATTGGTAAGGCGGGCCCAATGGTTCGCCTAAGTTTTGACAGATCGGACAGCTACACGGATGAAAGCAATTCGTTGTCAAAATGTGGCTCTCGCCTTGCCGCCGCACACGTTCGCCTGAACAGACTCTAAAGGCTTCAGGGGTGGGTGGAGGCTTTTGGTGTCGCCTCAATGCAGCGCGCATTCGTCCTAAAAACTCCCAACAGCTAAACAGATGGAAGGTGA